CCTCTCCATTTCAGCTGTTTGTTATGGTTTCACGAAGGTGCTGCTGAAGCCTGCCTCAAGCATTGCTAAAGAAACTGTTGTTAGATATCTGGGGCGAGAAAAGCCAAGGCATCCAGCACACCTCCCACCACTTCTGTTCCTGTGCTCACTCCTAGAACACTTGTAATGTAGATGAAACTTTTAAATGCCTGATAAGCATTACTGGAAAAGTGACTGTGTGGAGAAGATGGAGATGATTGACATATTTTATGGATGACTGGTTTTAGTATAAAGGAAAACATTTCTTAAAGAATGTTCTGTAAGTAAAGGTTTTGCATGATGCGTTGAAAGCAGGAGAGATCTGTTCTCACATGACTTAAAAAGGGATACATAGCCATAAACTTAGAAGACGTAATTAAAATATAGGTAGTGTGTGGAACAAATTTAATCTTTTTCCAAAGCTGCAAGTACTGCTTGTAGTATAGACCTCTTCTCTGCTGTGGGGACAATATTCTCTAGAAGTGTGGGGATTTTAGGTTAACATACATGTTTTGTGATGCTTGTATTCTTTGCTTATACATTCCTAAGGCCTCCTCCAGCAGAGCTGACAACAGCTTTGCCTCACAGAGGAGTTCGAGGAGAGTTACCTTAGGTGTTCGAGGGACACCTAAGAGCCACAGAAAACACCTGTGAGCATGCAAAAGAATGATGCTTTTATCTCTTAAAGAAGAAAAAAGATGTGAAATACTGCTTAGTTCCAGGGGCTCAGGTGCTGTTGAAACTAAAAAAGGGACGGCACCTTAGATGAAGGCAATTAGGAATTCCAAATCTTAGCCTTACCTGTTCATGTTAAATGGCAAATCAGTCTGAAGGGATATTGCATACGTAGAGTATTTGAATCCAACGCTGTTAATCTATTTTTCTCCTGTACAGATCTCAAAACAATGAGCGAGCGACTCAAGAATAGGTACTACGTGTCTAAGAAATTATTCATGGCAGACTTGCAGCGAGTCTTTACAAATTGCAGAGAGTACAACCCCCCCGAGAGTGAATACTACAAATGTGCCAATATACTGGAGAAATTCTTCTACACAAAAATTAAAGAAGCTGGATTAATTGACAAGTGACACTGTCTTTTTTGCAACCAAACAGTGTACCGACTTTATGGGCAGGGGAGCTGTTAGATATCTGAGTTGTGGGACTTTAAGGTTTCAAGAAACTTCTGTTTAATACTTAGCACTTTTAAAAACCCTTTTAGTTTTGCAAACATGTATTATACTGAAGTTACAAAAATTATTTTATTAAAATGCTTTATAATGTATTTAATTATGGGAAATTTCTTTTGTGTGCCCATGACCATATATTCTTAGTAAGTTTATCAGCTACAGCCTCAGAAACCCACAAAACATGTGGGAAATTGCACATGTTTGGGAATACGAAGAAAATTCCCAGACAACAGATGCTATAGCTTACCTAATGCAGTACCTATTTGATAAAGTTTTATTATTTTTTTTCCAGTAAAAAAGAAAACAATAAGGGAAAACAACAGTTTGGGTGAGGGGGTTCTGAAACACTTGTTTCTTTGTAGAATCTTTTTATAAGATGTTATTTTTTAAAAGAAACACTCAGCTGGTTGAGAAGCTGTGAGAGATGAGCAGCCAGTTCGGAAAAAAGGACTGCCTGTAATCTTTGATAGATGCAAGTTTTTCTATTCATTTTGGGTTTTGATAAATATTTTACCTGAAAATTGTAATCTCGTAACCACTATTTAAAAAAAAAAAAAAAAAGAAAAGTAAGTATCTGGCTAGATGTGTAATGTCATAGTGACTTGGCTTATGCAGGACATAAGTACCCAGAGTAACTTCAGAGTATCTGATTCACATATACTAGACAATTTCAGTTGGCTTAGTAGAGTTAAGGTTTTGATGGACTTCATGATCCACCCTCTTTACTACCCTTCACCAATAAATTCTTTGGGTTATTCATCAGAGAGAAGACTATGGTACACAAAAGAAGTCGACATATGACAGCTTCTAGCTTATATACTTGGCTCTGTGGTAAACTGGATTTTCTACCAAGCTTTATTGTAAATGCTTATTAACTGTGATTATTTAGACCCAGGAACGTATTAACATTTTACAACTCATGGCAGTATATCAAATTGAGCACTTATATATATATTATATATATTTTGCTGCTTACACTACATTTAAGAGGTACACCTAACTACCTAATGGAGATCAGTACAGGCCAAAAAAAGTTGTCACTTGACATTTTCTAATTAGACTTTGTAACTGTAAATTATAATTGTTTTTGTGAAAAACGGATTTAACTTTCATTCTTGGTGTTTTATATTTACAGATGTTACACTGGTAAAATTCAGTAGTTATAAGACTGAAATTAAAAAAAAAAAATAATCCTGTGCTGTGTCAAAGAATATATTCCTGCAAAATGCCTGTGCAATGTTAAATCGCAAGTTGATTCAGCAAGTTGGTGTCGGGAACTACCTGGAGGTAGTAAATGTGGTACACAAGGTGTTCAGAATGTTAGCACTAGACTTGCCATAGTGTTTTGTATGAGATTAGTCTGACCTACGTTTGGATCTATAACAAAGGTACAGTGAGTATTTTTTTTTTTTTTTAAATAGCCAGTACTGGATGCTATAATCCTGTTTTGTAGATTGGGCCTACAGATGCACCTGTTAAGCTTGGTATCCTGTGAAATTTTGTTATTTTCAGAGTAGATTTTCTTATTGTCTTTCAATCAGATTGTCTCTTCTATATTGAAACATTTGTTTTCTAATTTAAGAATTAATATTTTCATAGATACTGTGCAATAAAGTTACAGTAGGATACGTGGTTTTGCAAATGCTTTAACAGCTGATGAACTTTACATTTGTAAAATTAATATATTGTATTGGTACAGAATAGTTTTAAATTATATATGTACAAAACCCTACCTATTTTCGTCTCTTTATTAATTAGTTCATGCACTACAGTTACGCATACGGAAGCAATTTCACAGCTGAGCGTCTCCCAGGTGCGCTCACAAAAAAGCACAAAAGCCTCCGAGTTCAGTGGGAGCGTTTAACGGAGGCCAGGCTGCTAAACCCAGCTGAGAATTCAGCGCAGAAGGCCGTGACCGCTCCAAGTCGCATTCCCAGCTTCATACTAACTTAACTACAGGGCTGTTACTCCCATCTCCTCCATACCTCAAACGCTTCCTTGACTTAGCTGTTCAAAAGTTTTGATTTCTCACCTCAAAGTGAGATTTTCTCATTTTTGTCTACCAGACTCAATATGCAATATACAGTAATACCACAAGACAGTGTACATAGCAGCAAACTCCTGTCCAGCTCAAGAATACACATGGATACCACCACGGGACTCAGGTGTTGGGGTTTTTGCATACCATAAACAAACCCCTGGCCAACACCTGACAGGCAGGTAGAGAATGTGAAGAGAATAACCTCCCACTAAGCTTTAGCCCTGTGTCACATCACATGAAAGCATGCAGACAGTGGTCCAGAGGCTTACCTGTTTTCCTGGGCACTTGCAGGAACAGCAATTGAGATGAGGCAAGCTAGACTCAGCCTCCTTCCTGCAGCTGTGCTGGAAGCACACTTCCTGAAGCTCCCTCAACCCAAAACAGTCCCGCAGACCCATGACATCTGCCTTGGGCTGCTCTGCTATCCCCGGTAACAGCTGTTACAGGTTGGTTTGCTGAAAGAAGAGAACACCTGGAGCTAAATCACTGCTCAAGTTCCTATAGCACTAGAGTTTCAGAAGGAAGAGGGGCAAGGCCAAGAACTAGAGTTCTAGGATATAAATGGAAGGTTAAGTTGCAGTTCCAACATCCAAAGGCTGCAGTGTGAATGAACACTTCCTAACCCTCAGTAGAGCAGCTTTTATTATTACTGTGGAGATCTCGAGTCACGTAAGAAGGTACCAGTAGAACAGTAGTTAACACCACACATTTTCATTAAAGGGAGAGATTCCAGCAGGAACACAAAGGAGCCTGAACTTTTGTACTTTCCCATTATCTATGTCAAATGTAGCTTTTCTCTTTGTATTCACGTGTCCATTCATACTACTTAGGAGTTTCTTGAGTAAAGAAAAACTAGTTTGAGCATTTTGCAACCTTGCAACCCGGCTGAACAATTCATAACATTCCTCGAGCATCCAGCCTATTGTGGGACAAAACAGCATCAGTTCGGATGTGGCCCATCGTCTTCTGGCAAAGCTGCTTGGCAAAGCAGGGCCAGAGCTCTTACAAAGTTCCATGCTAGCAGCTGACGTTCCATGGAAGCAGAGCACTCTTCACCAACCTTCCAACTGGAGCAAAGCACGTGGAAGCTGATTGTAACTTGCCTTCTCAGCAGTACCAACCAACCCTAAATTGCTGCTTTTGAGAGCTCCAGTTACATAGTCTAATTAAAACTGGCACTCTTGTTCCCAAGCAATCCTTAGGTCACGTAAGACTGGGAAGGCGTACATGGGCTTGCAGTACGCCTACTGCTGCCATCGCTACCCTCGAAGCGAGTACGGAGGCTGTTCAAAGAGAACGCCAGCCAACTCCAAACTGTTTCTGAACAGACGTTTATTAAGAGCTTCAGTGTGAAACTACAACTATTACATAAAACAGGTCTGTACAAACGTGATTAAAAAAAATAAATTTGATCTGAAGTGCCAGAAGTTCATCTCTGCCAACCACTGAGATCAAGCAGGGCAATACATCCTGGTTTCATGGTCACTGTCTTTTCCGTCAGGTATTTCCAATGCACTCCTCCCCCCAGAGTTTGCGTGGCATCACCTTGATTATAGAAGTAGCCTTGTGTCTTCTCTATCATCAGAAACAACTCACTGGGTTAAAACCAAAGCCCCTTACTATTATGTCCTTAGTACCAGACGCATGGAAATAACAGCGTATTTGTGTAACATACTGCACAACAACAGTTTCCTGGATGAGAGACGTCCCTTCTTCACGGAGTGAACACGGTTTTGCTGTCGTGACTGGACATCTCAGCAACAACCAATGAATTTCTCGTTGTATTTTGACAGAGATTTTTTATGAAGAGAACTGCCTTTAGCATCTCTCTTCTGCTTGAAAATTGGAGAATTCAGAAAATTTGTATCTGTAAATGGATCTCCTCTCCTCAGTTTCCTGTAAAAAACCCCACCAAAACAGCAAAATTGAGTTTTATTCCCCACATCACTTAAGACACTAACTTTCAGCTAGTAAGTTTAATTTCACACTAATTATTTCATACTACTAAAATCAGTCCTCTCTTTGAATGTTTTGTTAAGAACTTCTTTCCAATATTTAAATAATCCCCTCAAATCCTCCATTGGATAGAATGTCATGGACTTGGTATCAAACTGGGAAGCAAGACACCTACCCTGCAATACTTGGCTCTTTGTAGCTCACACTAAGAGTGCAGCTTCGCTTGCGTTTTGGAGATCGTGGTCCTTCACCTTCTGGGGTAACAGTTGCGTTCCCGGTGCTGGGGAGCAACGAAGCAGTATTGGTAACATCACAAAGATGACCACGAGATGGCTCAGCAGGCTGCCCTGGGAAGAAATTAGGCACGCTTTAATGCAATTCAGGCAAGCTAGCTTATAAAGAATATATCAATGAACATGTTAGATGTAAGGTAACTCCCAGCTCTGACTATTATCTCCATCTTTCCTCTTAGGTATTCTTAAGAGGATCAACAATTATTCAGGATTTTAATTTGGAAAAATAAATGAACAGTAAGCTGTGCCAGGCAAAGTGTGATTTGTTACTCCAGTTCTCTCTCAACTTATACGCTTGCTTTCCTCTTTTTCCTCAGCTTTACTACATACTTAAACATATCTAAAATACAGTATTAATTCATTGTTACCATTTTCTTAAACAGATCATATCTTTAATTCAGATTTCGGCTGAGGGAAAAAGTAGACAGAATAATGAATCTAGTGACTTTCAGAACATTATTCTGTTTGTATTTATTAAAAAAAGCCAAAAAGCCTACAGCCCATCAGCAGTTCTCTCAATGAAACAAAGCCAATTTCAGAACAATTTCTACACTTACTAATAGAACTGTCACTTGATTTATTGCTGTCCGTCTCTTTTTCCTTATGGAGTTTCTGCTCACGCTGCGCCAAACATCTTTTGGACCTTGGCCTTGCACAGACAGGCGACATGTCCGTCTCGCCCACTGAACTCTTCCTTTTTTTTGATCTACTCTTATAAGGCTCATAGAGGATGTCATCTGAATCTTCTTCGATATCACTCGACTCGATGGTATTCGTTTCAGATGAGTCGTCTTTGTCATCCTTTCCAGTATCCGTGTCATTTACCTTATTTGTTCGAAAAGGTGTAACATGGACACGCTCTTCAAAATGAAAGTCGTAAGCATCATTGGAGCCACCTAAGAAATCCAGCTTTTCTTTGGAAGCCTCTTTACGCTGTCTTTGTTTTGGTCTTTGCTTTGAAGTACTTTTAGGCCATTCCAGTTTTCTCTTTGAATGCTTCTCTCTCCTTACTTGAGAGTCATCTCTGCTTTTACACTCGCGTTGTTTATGTTTAAGATCAGAATTATCGTCTAAATTGAATTCCGTAGTTTCCGACTCTGCCCGCCTCGATGCCGGCTTGGAACCCACCTTGTTTTCATTCAACTGAGAAACATCTGAATTTATGTTTTCTATAGCACACCTCTCTAGACTTTCCTCCAGTCTAATTTCATCCTGTTTAGAAAGTTCTCTTGTTGAATCAGGTGCTTCTGAACGGTCCAAGACACCAGTGCAAAGCTCATAGTGATTTCTCATCGCTGAACGGCAGCGCCTGATGGACACACTTTTTGGTAACGTATTACCAAATCTGTCCTCTCCACTTGAGGAAACATCTTCTAGCTCTGACCCTATGTCATCCAGATGAAAATCAGATGTTCGCCCTTGCAATTGAAGAGAAAGAGTCGTATTAAAGCTAAATAGTAACAACCTGTTAAGGTTTTGTGCAAATCCTGAACCTGTCAAAAATTAAGACTATTCTTAGAATCTTCTCTGCAGATTTGTATAAACCCGTATTTGGCAATCAAGATCAGCTCTGTTTAATGCAGCTTCCAGACAGAAAGCAGTTCAGCATACTACAGTAGGCTTTTCCTCTAAACTGTTCTATTTGGAAAGGTTATCTACAGGTCCTTCATTTTTCAGAGTATTTTGCTTTGTTAGCAACTGTTGATTTTGTAAGTGATAATGCCTGACTAAAGATGACTTCACTCTCTTGAGCTGCTTGGTAGATACTGAAACAAGAATGCAGATATATAGAAGAAATAATTTTCAGATCCTTCCCCTATTTTCCTAGGAATCTTCATTCAACAAGTTTACCAGTTGCCAATATTAATATCTAACTTTTATGATAGTAAGTGGAAAATTACCTGATTAATTAATTATTCAAAAACAGTAATTACATTTTAAATTTACTCACTTTTTTTTTCCCTGATTCAGAATAGAGCAATGTCTGATACTTGGATTTAGTTACCTTTGTCTGGAACTATTTTGATGAAGGAAGTGGCATTGTCAGGTTCTTCGCAGATTGTTGACACAGAATGAGCCAGCTCATTTCTATCACTATCAGCCTCCATCCCACTTGGAAGTACTTGATCGTCTCCAATAGCACACTGTAGAATTCCTCTAGAGATAATGCCAGAGAGAGTATTTACTGAATAGCAATAGATTGTATGACAATGAACTACTTGATTACATTGCATTTCTTCCCTTTTTCCAGTCAGAAAATTCAGCTTACTGTAACAGAATTTTCAAATATAAGTAGGTATTAATAAGAGGTACTTACACTGAGTGCGTTTGTTCTGCGACACTGGAACTACCTTCAAGAACTGAAGAAAGCATTCTCTGATTCTGTCAACAAAATAAAGCTTACTGTGACCATATATACATTTCAGACCACAGCCAAGTTACCCACAGAAGGGGCAGAGGCCCTTGACTCCTTCTGGCTGGCTAACACAATGTGCTGTGGGATCTCACGTACTCAGCTCCTGCAAGTCAGCACTTTCATCACCAGCCCAATCACACAGAGCGGACAGGGGAAGGAATCATGAGGACAGTACAGGGAACAAGACGCAAAAGTACAGAATATCAGGGTGCCCCTACCATCTCGTAGCAGAGTCTCAGTCCCACCAAGAACCTACTACACACCCCCACAGTTGGGGCCCCATGTTTTACTGGGAACTGTGGGATTAGCCATATGTCCAAACTAAGGCTCAGACCTCAGAAACTATGTGCATCTATGCTGGAAGGAGTCAGGGGAAGAATCAACAGAAATCCTGCACATCAAGAGGAAAAGGTACTTACTAAACCTATGGAACACAAATTCTTTGCTGGGCCAAGGAGATCGATCGAGTCCAGTAAGTTCTGAGAAACTTTTGAAATTACCTCGTTTAAGGATGACAGTTGATTCTAATGGACAAAAGACAGAAAATAAGTTACTGTCATACTGAAGTATCAGCTACCAACATAATAACTTCTTAGCGGTGTTAGATGACTAAATCCTGAAGATACCTGAAGGTATCTTCAACCATGATAAAAAAATTAAAATTCACAGTAGATAGATTTTAATCTGTTAAGGAAGAAAGAGTAACCAGGAAAAAAAAAAAAAGGCCATTAACAACCGGGTTAGGCAAAAACATGAGAAAAGTTGTTCTATATATCAAGTTAATTGTTTACAAAGCATTTAAGATCATAAATATATTAGCAGATTAGTGCAGATTATAATGTTCAGCTTCACTAAATCATAAAGTTATTAGTAAAAATACCTCAACAAGCCTTTGTGCTTGCTGAAAACTAAGAGCTCTTTGCAAGTCAAACATCTGAAACTTCAGATCTTGATAATCCCTCCTTAAACGAAGAATGGTAACCTGGGCATCCCTCAGTTTGATCTTTTCTTCTTGCAAAGCCAGAGCTAGAGCTCTGTTGTTGGCCTGGATGCTCTTCATTTGCATGGAGCTGTTAGCTGCAACAGAACAGCGAGTGAGTATTTCGAGGTGGTTTAAAGAAAAAAAAAAGTTATGAAAATTATTAAGATATTTAAGGATCTTACTTGCTCTTTTGCCCTTTGCAGTGGCTGTAAAGGGTAAAAAGGGCTGGCTACTTTTACCCAGCCGCATCCATTTCTGATTTCTTTTCTCTTTCATTCGTTCTTTTATGTCATCCAGACTGTCTTTGAAGGGCTTTTTCAAGCATTCAGCCATCTTCTACCTTTAAAAAACATCAAGAGTAAAGAACTCATTAAGATAGCGCTGCACAATGCTCCCCACGGCCAAAAGAAAAGGAACAGAGTAATAAGCTTTACCCGTACGTTCCTCGTGAGGCGCGTACGCGCGCAGAGGAGACCACAGGGACGGGCGGCTGCGGCCGTTTCCCAGGCCGGAGCTGCGGCGTGACTCCCGGCAGTACCGCCGGTTATCCCAACGGCAAACCGCAGCGTGTCCGCGGCGGAGAGCGGCCCGCGG